CCCGAATCCCCCTTTCTCGAATTCCTCAACAATACGCAAAAACGGGCTGGGTGACTCGGCCCTTGCGCGCGCAGATCCCATTCGATTTTTCCATTCAACACCCCCGAAATGACGGCTCTTCCTCCTCCTCCGCATCCTCGCGGAAATTCCCCCTCTTTTCTATTTGTGCTGCCCATTTTTATGGCCAACCATTCGCATCGCAAAAATCGGCAGTGAGCATCACCAAGCTTGAGTCATTTTTTGGGTATTTTATCGAGAAATTATTTTTTTTTGGTTTTTCTTACTGTAGATGGAAAGCTTTTTTGTTTCTTTGCGGGTTACTGTAGGACTACGGTAGCTCTAGTAAGCTGGGGTATCGTTTTAAAGACGGCGTGCCAGCTGGTTGCTTCTTATTTTGTGATTTTTTGGGAAGAAGCCGAAGGATAAGCCTTTGTCCAAGCTTAAGCCTAAGACTAAGCCTAAAAACTTAAGCCTAAGCCGAAGCCTAAGTTTAAATCTAAGCCTAATTCGTAGCCTAAGCCTAAGCCTAAGGTCAAAGCCTAAGCCAGACCTAAGCCCAAGCCGCAGCCTAAGCCTAAGCCTAAACATAAAACTAAGCCTATGCCTAAGCTAACGCTAAGCCTAAGCCTAGCCTAAGCCTAAGCCTATGTCACCCACGCCTAGGTCTTACCTACCTTTTCGTTTCCATTTTTGAAATTTGAAAAAATCTCTCCCAGCTCGCGCGAGTCATTTAATGGGGCAGTGACAGCTAGCTGACCGCAAGCGCATACTGTAGTTTGTCTTGGTTAGCTGTAAGTCAGGCTTAGGCTAGAGTAACTTTTAGAATTTGGCCTTTTTAGTAAAAGTCAGTCGCAAACGATCCCTGCTAGCTCGCCTATGCCATTTTCTCAGTCCCTTGAGACCGTCTAACTGCCCCGCCTGGATTTTGGTCCCCCAAATAGTGCAAATTCCTAGTCCAGGCCAGAGATCCTAGAGACAGTCAGAGTCAATCGAAAAAACAAGGATTCACCCTCGATTGTATCGTCATACTGGGGCGCGGAGCGCGAGCGCGGGCCGGCTGGGAATGCGTCAACACGTTTCAAGGCGGCGTGTACTAGACGTGGGGAGGGGATTGTTGACCTGTAGCCCCACGCGTCAAAACAGTCCCCTCAGAGCCCCCTTTTTTGGCAATCGGCCAAGGCCATTTAGCCTCTGGAGAGAGAGAGAGAGCGAGAGAGAGAGAGCGAGAGAGAGAGAGCGAGTGAGAGAGAGCTGGAGAGAGAGACAGAGTGAGAGAGAAAGAAATAGAGAGAGACAAAGACAAAATCCTGTTTGTTCTCTTCGTCTTACTTTAAAAAATCACTAAAAATATGTTTAACTTTAGAAACCCAAATGATGTGGAAACTCCTACTGGCTGTCGCGCTGTTCAGCGTCGTCCTTGCCGAGCTCGGCCTCCCAGAAGAACAGCTTGATGACGCTGATCGGCCACAACTACGCGCTAAGCGACAGTACGGATACGATAGCTACGGATGGGGGTAAGCTTAACCTACGTTAAGCTGGGGCTTAGCTTAGGCTTAGCTTAGGCATAGCTTAGGCTTAGACTTAGGCTCAGGCTCCGCTTAACTTCAAATCTCTATTTTTCTAGTGGTGACTACTGGTACGCCGGGCGCATTTTCGGCATCATCATCGGCATCCTGTTGCTAATCTGCTGCTGCTGCGTGCCGCTGATCTGCATCTTGGGCAAGTTCAGGAGGGGAGGGCAGGCTGGCAGAGATTTTTAGCGGAACCTTTACAACCCAAAATTTTTGTATTTTCTTTTTTGTAATTTCTTAATTTCCAGGAGTGTGGTTCCTCGGCTGGTTCGGCATCAAGCGACGTCAAGAAGCGAAGCGAAAAGGCTTCACGACGCAGCAGGCGCCTCCCACCACCGTTCCCCAGCCACAGAGTTGGTACCGCGTCTAGGTTATTACTATCATATTCAAATTGGTTGGATTTGGACTGGCTTAATGTAGCGCAAAGCAGCTTTGCGTAATCTGGGATTGTGACGTAGCGCATCGTAACGTAGCGAAGTCCAGTGTAGCGCTACGTAGGTGTACGCAACCTGACAACTGAACGCAGCGTATGTAACGTAACGTAGTCTAGTGTAGCGCTAGTAGCTTTGCGCACCCTGGCATCTAAACGCAGTGCATGGTAACGTAGCGTAGGGTATCCAAGCGTATCGTGACGTACATAGCTAAGAATACCGCACCATAGCGAAAGAACGTGCAATGTTGCGTAAGGAAACGGAGTGTTTTGTAACCTACGATTGCGTAATCCTGTGTAATGTAGCTTACTGTATCCAGGAGTAGGGTTTGTTACGTATTCCTGCGGAGCGTACTGTAGCGTATTGTACTGGAATCATACTGTAGTTTACGTCATGAAGTTTTGTAGCGTACTGTAGTGTAGCGTAGCTTTTAGGCGCATACTAGCGTACTTAAGCGTACTTAGCGTGCTTAAGGTACCGTATGTTTTGTGTTCCAAACAAAATACCTCGTTTCAGACGTGATCCAGCTACACTCCGAGCCGCAGCCGATCATCCGGAACATCCACACCCATAGAACACGCTCCCATTCCCCGCCTAGAACCTACACAGCCACCCAAGTTCCCGCAGAGCATGTAAGTATTTTTAGTCATAGTTTTGAGATTACAGACTTTGTTAAAGGAGCATGAGCTTCAGCTTAAGCCTAAACTTAAGCCTAAGCCTAAGCATCGGCCTAACGCTAAACTAAGCTCAAGCCTAAGCCTAAGAATAAGCCAAGCCCAAACTTAGGCCCAAGGCTAAGCTAAGCTTAAGCCCAAGACTAAGCTAAGCATAAGCCTAACGCTAAACTAAGCCTAAGCCTAAGCCTAAGCCTAAGAATAAGCCAAGCCTATGCCTAAGCCTAGTTTTCCAGATCGTCTACTCAGCCGAAGACCGCTACTACACCTCCTCCACCTCCCCACGGCATAACAGTCGCATCTGAGCTTATCCTTTATCCGTGATTTCTGTAAAAATGGCATCATTTTAAAATTTTAAATTCTTTCCATTTTTGTCTTTCATTCCATCAAAAAACTACCGCATTTTGTGTATTTTCTGATCATTTACATGGCTATACAAATCCCTACCTACTGCCCTGCCCCGGTTATGCATTTTTTGTGATTTTCCAGGAATAATCCTTTTTTGTCCTCAACGATTGAGTGGAATTTTGTCAAATAAAGTCTAAAGATTTTTATATGTTTAAAAATCCGCATATAAATACAGCTAAATTGCTTAAAATTTGAGTTTTCGTTTTTCTTAGATTTTGAAAACTTGAAAAGGTTCTAAATTTGGCAAAAATTGATCAATTTTGACACATTTTGGCTTTAGAAATATCTGCAAATTGAGGCCTTTTGAATCGTATAAATAAAATGGTGTAAAAATGTTTGTATGCAAAGTTACGAGGCAAAGAAAAAATTAAAACGTTAAAAAATGGGAAAATCGGTCTTAAATCGGACTTATAAAGTTTTGTACAATTTTAAATTGTTGTGTGATATAGAGACTTTTAAGGTTTACAAAAAATCACTTTAAATATTTTAATTAAGCGTCTCAAAATTTTAATCCAATTTTTTTTTATATGTAAATTTCGATTTTTTTTATACTGCAAATTTTATTATTATTTGTAACTATTTAATATGTTTAATATATAAGATATATTTTCTACATAAAATTCTTCATAAATTTAATGAAAATAAAACATATTTATGAATCTAAATGCAGAATTTTCAACTCGTAAAGTGGCTTGCACTTCTAGGGGCCGGCTGGGTGGATGGTCAAGGCCATTTGGGCGGGCTGGAGTTGTGGTGTTGTTTGCCTTCGAATCCAACCATTTCCACAGAAACACACAAACAATCCCCCCATCCCTCCCCTCTATTCACAACAATACCCAAAACATCGTCCGCCCTCCCCTCCCCGCACACCTCGCGCACTTTTTGGCAATCCGCCTGAATCGCCGAGCGCGTTTTCCCCGATTTTCCGTTTTGTACTACGCTACGATACGTTAAATTCGGTACCGCTACACGCTACCGTATCTAAAAAGGTCACAAATTCCGTAAGTTCCATCTCCTTACTACGCTACGTTACGTTCTCCGAGCTTTTCCCCGATTTTCCGTTTTATACCACGCTACCTACGTTAGATTCCGTACCGCTGCCGTATTTTCAGATCTACCGTATCTGAAAAAAATACGTTAAGCTTTCAGTAATTTTCCGATAGTTCCTGATTGCGCTACGTTACGCTGTAAAGAATTTTCGATCCTCTACTCTAGGCTAAATTCCGCAGGGCTCCACACGACAGTTCCTAGATATTCCGTTTTATAATACGCTACGATGCATTGAATTCCGTACCACTGCAATCTACCGTATCTGAAAAAATTACGCAATAGCCCAATATCAATATCAAAAAATTTTGGGTTCTCTACGCTAGGATTCCGCTAAGCTCCACACTACGGTTTCCGCCAATTCAAACTAGTTCTTAGATTTCCGTTTTATACTATGTTACGATACTTCAATTCTGTACCACTAGGCGCTACCGTATCTGAAAAAATACGTTAGGCTTTCAGTATCCGATGGTTCCTGATCGCGCTACGTTACGCTATAACGTTACGCGAAGAAACGCTAAACGCTGTTCGGCTTTTTGCGACGGACGATGTTTTCACTAAATTGAATTTCGTCTAGCTACGTGTTACAGTATCCAAAAGTAACGATCGAACTCTTACCCAGTGTTTTCATTTTCTCAAATAGTCATTACGCCAAAACACTCAGTTCCGGCTTACCACGCTCTAGAGGCTCTTAAATCACATGGCGTACTCGACCCTAGCATTTCGATTTTTTTTTCATTCACATGACGCAACAGCCATCCAAAAATGTAATTACACCGCTTTCTCCAGGAATTTTTCAATTTTTCGATCTGCATTTCACGATGATACGCTCAAATTCAGCGCGGGGGACTTTAGACCTCAATTCCAGAATGAGCATCTACACGAGAATACTCTTTGCGGCCGTCTTGCTAGCTACAGTAGCAGCTCTAGTGGAGGAACACAAGGAGGAGCACGAGACGGAGGAGTCGCATCTTCGAGCAAAGAGGCAGTATGGATATGGTGGATATGGATGGGGGTAAGAGAGTGACGGATTAGGTTAGACTCAGGCTTAGGCTTAAGAGGCTAGCCTTAGGATTAGGCTTCAGCTTCAGCTCATGCTCAGGATTAGGTTTAAAGAGACTTTTCTAGTGGTGACTACTGGTACACGGGCCGTATGTGGGGGGATCCTGATCGGCATCATCTTGTTGTCGCTGTGCTGCTGCGTGCCGTTAGTCTGCTTGATTGGTAGGTTCAGGGCAAGAGAGAGCGAGAGAGAGAGAAAGAGAGAGCGAGAGAGAGAGAGAGCGAGATAAAGAGAGGCAGAGAGAGCGAGAGAGAGAGAGAGAGCGAGAGAGAGATAAACATACCTTTGCAGGCGTCTGGTTCATGGGTTGGTTCGGCGTGCGTGATCGTCACGACTCCAGAAGAAAGGGTGTCCCCACCATGACGTCAACCACCGTCTACCCCCCGCCACAGAGTTCGTACCGCATCTAGGGTATTTTTTGTAGAGGCTTTTTCCGTGGATTCCCTGTTTTCGATGGTCCTTTAAAACTGTGGATTCGTTAATGGGAGAAATAATTTTATTTAGGTGTCATTCAACTCGATGAAGAGCCCCATACCCCACCCAGAACATACACCCCTACAAGGCAATACAACACTACCCGAACTTATAGCCCAGCAGCGCCCGCGCAGTCTGAACACGTGAGTCTCTCTCTCTCTCTCTCTCTCTCTCTCTCTCTGTCACTCTCACACTCATTCACTCTATCTCACCCAATCTCGACTCCCTCTCTCGCTCTCTATCTATCTCTCACTCCATCTCACTCTCTCTCTCTCTCTCTCTCTCTCTCTCTCGCTCTCTCTCTCGCTCCCTCTCTATCGCTCTCTGACTCTCTCGCTTTCGATATCGCACTTTCCCTCTCCCTTCTCTCTATCTCTTTCTCCCTTTCTCGCTCTCTTCATCTCTTTCTGGCTCTCTCGCTCTCTCACATTCTCTCTCTCTCGCTCTCATCTTCTCTATCCCTATTTTTTTCAGATCGTCTACCAAAGCGACGAGCGCTACTACACAACTTCCGGCTCCCCTCCCCGCAATAGCGCGATCTAAATGCCTTTCCAATTTTTTTCAATACTTGCCGCGCCATTCCTTTAGACACCCAGGCGTACTGTAGTTTTCAGTTCTCTTTAAATCCATTTTCCAGCCTTAAAAACGAATTTAACCCTAAAACTTGACCTCGCCACCCTCAATTCATCGATATTCCGTTACGCAACAAATGACGCATTTTTCAAACCATTTTGAATTTCCATGCCTTTTTAAAATTGGGATATACATGTACATTCCCGTATTGACTTGTAATAAATTGGTTTAGCCTCTGTGTGCTGTTCGTAGTATCGTAGCGCACACTCGCGCTCCGGGGGACAACACCGGAAACCGCACACTAACGAACGATGAGAGGAGCGGGGGAGGGGTGGAAATTAGCCACTTGCGCTTGCATCGCGTTTATCTGGCCAAATTCTGCTAATTTTGGGTCTTCTTGCAAATTCGAGTCAAAGCCAAAATTAGTCTGAAATGGGTTGAAGCCGAAAATTGGGTTAGTCCTAGGTTTCGCTTGGGCTTAGGTTTAGCTTAGGCTTAGACTAAGCTTAGGCTTAGGCTTAGGCTTCGGCGTAGGCTTAGCTTGGGCTTGGGCTTAGGCTGAAGCAATGACATAGCTTAAAAGGTATTCAAACTAGCGTCATGAACGCGTCGCGATTTTAACCGGAATGCGATTTTCAGGCTTGAGCTTTTAGCTCGCGGCGAAATTCACGTTTTTTCGAATTTTTGTTGTGTTTTAGAATTAGGAAGGGCTAGCAGGCCCATTTGATGCTTGCGGAATTAGCATATTAATCGACTGAAGGGGGCCGGAAAGCTAGCAGTGTTCATTTAAGAATTGCCCATCCCGTCTCGCTGCCAGCCGGGCCCTGCTCCCAAAGAAAAGCAGACGAGACGCATCTGGGGGGCCGAACCAAAAAAGCGGAAGCATCAGAAGAAGGCGAGAGAGCGAGAGAGAGAGAGAGAGAGAGAGAGAGAGAGAGAGAGAGAGAGAGAGAGGAGAAAGAACAGGAGCATCAGAAGAAGACGGAGGGGGAGCTTCTCCCCTTCCTCCCCCCCCTCGTATATTCCCTCGTATTTTGGCCATGTGTATCGACGACGGGGGGCTGGGAGAGGAGGAGCGGAGGCGAGGCCCCTCAACACGCGACGCAACCGCCCATTGCGTCTGCGTCTCCGCTTTCCCTCCACTATCTCCTCCCCCCCTGGCCCCCTTTAACCCTTGCCGGCCGGGTGGGCCCCCCGCCTCACAATGGCCCATCCCCGGGCCCCTGGGCCCCCAAATTTTAACCCCGAAAAATGGTTATCTGACCCAAAATTATGCAAATTACGTTATGCAAATCGGGCTTGTTTTCGCTAGCGATTTTAGCCCCCGCATTTGCGGTTTTTGCTTCAGTTTTTGGTTTTTTTGGGGCCCATCTCAGGGGCCCTTGCCCGAATTTTGTTGCGCGAAAATTGCGCTCCTGTTCAAATGCGATTTATGCTAATTAGGGTCTATTTTTGGGCTTATTGGGACCTGGAAATTTGCCTATTGCTGCTTTTTTGGGTTTTGGTCATTGTTGGATTGAATTTTACTCATTTTGCGAGCACCTCTTGACTAGTGGGACTTTTAAAAGCTTTTTCCATACAAATTTCTGCAAATTTGATTGAAATATAAATTGAAATTGATTGAATTTCATACGCTGATTGCTATACTTAAATAGAAATCGTGAAAAACTTCGGAAAATCGACTTTTTTCTATTTTTCCACGTATTTAATTGTTTTCTCTATTTTCCAGGGCTAATTTCCGGTTGTTTCCTGCCCCTTATCACCCCCGGAATGGGCTAATAAAATCGAGGCCGGGGCGCGGCGCTTATCAATTTTCACGCCTCAAGGCCACAGCCGCTTCCTAGAGAAAACACAAATATATTACTGAATTGGTGTTAATTTAAATAAAATTATTAGTGATTAATTCAGAAAAGTACAAATTTTACTTTAAATTAAATAGATAAAAACTTAATTTCTATATATTGTCGACATTTTTTACGACGTACACCAAATTGCGCTCAAAAAAATCGTCGAAAATCGCACATTTACAATTATTCAAACTTCCTAATTAAGGTTTTCTCATTTTTAGTACTTAAGATTAGTAAATTTGTGTTCTAAATTTTTTAGATTTCTTAATTTTTAGTATTTATACTATTATTAAAATGATTTAAATGCTTATCTCCACTGTTTTAGACTTCAAAACCCCTAAACTACAAACTACAACCGCTGGACCCCGGAAATCAAATGCACTAAACCATCGGCGGGCCGAAGCGGCAGATGAGCGAGCCGGGATCTCCAAAAATCGACGCCGACCGACCGTCCACATCGCAACAGCCGGGGGTACGGTAGTTTCTACGGTAGTCCAGCCGTTTAAAGGGGTTCGAACGTATAAATCCAGGCGTTTCCTACAGTCTACAGTACCCAATTCCAGCCCTCATCAAGCGGAACCTCAAAAATGCCCGAGAACGCCGTCGTCGCCCAGGTGCCGGCCGACAGTGCCACCAGGTATGGTTTTCCGTAGGCTTAGGCTTAGGTTTGTGCTTACTTAGGCTTAGGCCTAGGCTTACGCTTGACTAGGCTTTGCTTAGGTTTTGCTTAGGCTTTGGCTTGACTTCGACAGCTCGATAAAAATCTTGCAGACAAGCCGACATGATCGACCTGCTCGCCAAGGAGGCGGAGGAGCTGCGGAAGAAGCTCGACCTGGAGAGACAGAAGCTAAACGATATCCCAAGTAAGTTGGGGCAGGCTAGCAGAGATCTTTGCGAAAGACTCGTCCAGCTCGAGAGGCAGGCTAGCAAAAATCCCTAGGGAAGGTCAACTAGCAGAGGTTCTTGTGGAAACTTCTCCTTTCCAGTCCAACAAGCTGCCGAACGGCTCGACCCCCTCGGCGGGCTCGGCATAAAACAGCGCAGAATTCTGAAAGGTCATGCGGGGAAAGTGCTATGTATGGACTGGAGTACCGACAAGCGCCACATCGTGTCGTCGAGTCAGGTGAGAGAGAGAGAGAGAGAGCGAGAGAGAGAGTGAGAGAGAGCTAGAATTACTGAATCCTTTTTTAGGACGGCAAAGTGATCGTCTGGGACGGCTTCACGACAAACAAGGAGCACGCGCTGACCATGCCGACGACCTGGGTGATGGCGTGCGCATATTCGCCAAGTAGCCAGATGATTGCTTGCGGGTAAGTTGAAGCTTAGGCTAGGCTTAAGCTTAGGCTCAGGCTTACCAACTCCTTACCTTTAATTTAGTGGCCTCGACAACAAATGCTCAGTGGTCCCTCTCTCCTTCGAGGACGACATCCTCCAGAAGAAGCGCTCCGTCGCCACCCACACCTCCTACATGTCTTGTTGCACATTTTTGCGCTCCGACAATTTGCTATTGACAGGTGAGAGAGCGAGAGAGAGAGCGAGAGAGAAAAAGGGAGAAAGAGACAGAGAGAGACAGAGATCTCCATTCCTTTCTCAGGCTCCGGTGACTCTACATGCGCGATCTGGGACGTCGAGAGCGGACAAATGATCCAAAACTTCCACGGTCACACCGGCGACGTGTTCGCGCTCGACGTGCCCAAGCAGGACACCGGGAACATCTTCATTTCGGCGGTAGGTGTAAAAGACTTGCAGAAGCTAGCGGAGATTCTTTGAGGATGCGCAGGCCAGCAGAGTTTCTTCAGGAGCCGTTTTTACTCCGTTTTTAGGGTGCTGACAAACACACGCTGGTGTGGGACATCCGTACCGGGCAGTGCGTACAGTCGTTCGAGGGCCATGAATCGGACATTAACACCGTGCGTTTTCATCCTAATGGCGATGCCTTTGCGACCGGATCTGATGATGCTACGGTAAGTTAAGGTAGCATTGAGACTTTGAGGAAACGAGGGCAGGCTAGCAGAGATTCTTTAGGAGCAATCCACATAATTTTTGGATATTTTTAGTGTCGTATGTTCGATTTGCGAGCCGATCGGCAAGTGTGCGTCTACGAGAAAGAAAGCATTCTCTTCCCGGTCAATGGCGTTGACTTCTCCCTATCAGGTACGTCTATTAGCGTAATGCAACGCGTTGCGGTCGCATCGCGTCTGAATTTTGTCGCAACGCACCCGCAACGCGTTAACAATTGATTTCAGGCCGAATTCTGTTCGCCGGCTATGGAGATTATCGTGTGGGCGTGTGGGACTCGTTGAAGGTAAGCTATAATAGTTTCTCTCTCTCTCTCTCTCTCTCTCTCTCTCTCTCGCTCTCCCTCTCTATCGCAATTTTCAGGTGTTGCGACATTCGGTTCTATACGGACACGAGAACCGTATCTCATGCCTACGCACGTCTCCAGACGGAACGGCCGTGTGTTCAGCTAGCTGGGACTGCACGATTAGGGTATGTTAGTTTAGAATACAGACTACAGGATGCATCATTTATCATATAATACGCTGCTTTTTCCGCAACTACAGACTACAAGGAATACCCGGGCCCAGAAACTACAGACTACAGACTACAGACTTATTGCATTTTATAGCCAGATAGCTGGTCATATGACCACAAACTACAAAAATCCGCGGCAAAAATATTCTGCCTTGTAAATGCAGAGTACAAGCTACAAGAATCGTCAGCTATAGACTACAGAGTTGGCACTACAGGCTACAGATTTGGGCTTGTTGTAGTTTATAGTCAGGCCACGAATCCGTGAACTACAAACTATAAAAAATCATCATCCAAAACACTACAGACTACAAGCAGCGCCGGCGATAGGGTACAAGGTGGAAACTGCAAAATGTAATAGCCGGGTTTACCACAGGCCATAGGCTACAAACTACACAAACCAAAATATCAGAACTATAGGCAGTGTTTTTCGGCTTAAAACGGCCAAAAATCATTTGTTTTATTAGGTTGTAGTCTATAGTTTAATATGTAGGCTACGGGCCAGATTACAAACTACAAGTCACAGTCTACAAATTATGATACAGAATGCAAAGCTACATCAAGCTACATCTTTCAGATTTGGGCCTAATTCGCCTCGCCTCGTTCTCCTCATCACCATAGAGTATGTCGTTATATGACAGCCGTTTTTTGGGAAGTTTGTACTTTGTACCCTCCGAATACCGTACTTTTGTACTCTGTATTGTATCGTACCCGTCCATTTTCTAGTCGCCGTGATTTCACCCTTATTTTTTGATTTTAAAAATCTCTGTACCTACCCCACCACCAGCTTTACAACCCACACAAAATTTGCATATTAAAACGACATCCAAAAAAACACGATTTTTCCTATTTTCTGCCATGGATACTGTACCTTTTTGTGCGACATTTTTTGCAAATATGACAAATACCACACACGCCTCTCCCAGATTGTTTATTTTATTTTATTCGATATATAAATATTTTTCGCGCATGTGCAATTTGTAATTTGTAATTTTTCGTAGTCTTTTTGGTCTTCTTTTTCCTACGGTAGCGCCCCTACCGTACCCCTCGGCAATTTTCCTTCTCTTTGATTACGATAGTAAAAAGTCTATTTATTTTTGTATGTAAAAAAACATCAAAAAGGCACAGTATGATTCGATATTTACAAATAATCCAAATTTCAAAAATTACAACCTTTAAGTTTTTTTGTGCTTAAAAATTAGGCTAACAAATTTTAAAAGACACAACTTACAGAAAATATACAAAAATCACAGTAATTTAATTAAAATACAATCATAAAATTTTAAAAAATACTTAAAATGGCCAAAGGGGAATTTCTTAAATAAGGCGTCATGAGGTAATAATTATGTAAATATCACAATTTATTACAAAATTAAGTTAGACTATTGTAGCTACCGTATACCATTCCACCGTAATCTAATCCAATAATTTAGGAAATTAGCATAATTTATTTTATATCCATAATAATATTAAGCATTAAATTCATTAAAAACCGGTTTTTTAATGCAAATTAACGTATCTTATAGGTTAAAAACAGGCTGTAATTAAATTGAAAAATTTCGAATTAAGCAATTAAAATGCTTTTAGCATTTTGAGCGGATTTTTGAGGGTAGGCAAGCAGAGATTCTTGTGGAATCTGGTCTCTAGATGCTTTTAATGTAAACTATATTACATTATAGGATAGAACTTCTTAACGTATAAGCTACAAGCTACACCACCCTACGGTCGACAATCATTTGCATGGGCCGCCAAGGTATCAAGGAATCTCTGGATGTCCTCATCGGTGAAAACTCTGCTCCGTGACCCGGCGATCGTCTCCAGCACGTCGCGGTTGATGCGCTGCTAGAAAATGGGATTTTTTGGTGCTGTCACGCCCACTTTAAAACGTTTTTTAAGGTTCCGCGGTTCTTTCGCATTATGGGGGTGCGAACCTTTTTTTCAACTCTAGAAAGCCTAGTAACTTAATAGGAAGTGTTTTAATAGTTTTTTTGGCAACATACAACTACGTTACAGCTAGGAAAACTATCCAAAAAAAAATTTTAAAAAATCGAACTTTTCGCCCAAAATCGGCATTTTGGACAAAAAAAATAAATCGATATTTTCGATATTTTTTATAAAAATTAGTAAAGTTTTCACGTTTAATAATAGTTACAAGCCAGTTAGAAATGTCAACTATTGATGTTTGAAAAATTAGATCCTAAGAAAAAGTTGTTTAGATGAAGTCGTTTTAAAGGACCTATGAAGGCAAAATCTATATGAAATAATTTTAAAGAGACTATGAAGCCCCTTTCTTTTCTTTCTTCTTTCTTCAACTCACATTTTGATTGATAGCGACGGCAAACGTATTCGGAATCAACCGCTGTAATTGAGCAGCTTCGGATCCGATCGATTTCTAAAGGTATTCGATCCTCAAAAACGTTGATTTGCATACCTGCGCAAAACCGTCTGTGAAGACGATGGCGATAGGTGTGGCTCGGCCGGGTCGAGCCCCACGTGCCGAGGAATATTCGGAAATCGCCTGGAATTTGAGGTTATAGAAGAGTGCGAGAAAGAAAGAAAGAAGGAAAGAGAGAAAGCGAGAGAGAGAGAGAGAGAGAGAGAGAGAGAGAGAGAGAGAGAAAGAGTGGGAGAGCGGGAGAGAGAGTGGGAGAGCGGGAGAGATAATAGGGCCTACCCGTTGCAATGCCGAATGCGCAGCGGTAGTTCCGGAAGAAAACGGTGTCGAGTGGAGGGCCCGTAGAATCGCTGTTTTTTGCTGGACGTCGTCGAAGCCCCAGACTCGTCGTACTTTGCCTTCAGCTGCGAATTTCACGACGGCTACCTGAAAAATACGGTGTTTTAAAGGGATTGGAAACTGAAAGCTTCCTCGACGATCTCTGCTAGCTTGCCTTTAGTTTCCTCAATGATCTCTGCTAGCCTGCCCTCGCTTCCTCAATGATCTCTGCTAGCCTGCCCTTCGTTTCCTTAAAGATCTCTGCTAGCCTGCCCTCGTTTACTCAATGATCTCTGCTAGCCTTCCAGCCCATGAAGTATCGATTTTTTCGTCCTGATTCCTTTAATGTGCATATTTCACACCAAAAACGAGCCCACTCTGCCTAATATTGATATAATATAATTTGGTCGCGTATCTTTGTGTGTGTGTGTGTGTGGATGTCACTTTCGAGGCTCGATTTGAGGGCCTTCCCGTGTCCAAAATGCCCTAATTCTCCGTCACCCGGGGGAATCGACCCTCCTCTATCGGATCGCGTTTTCAGAATCGCGATAAAATACAAGTTTACAAAGTTAAAGCCGGTTTTATTGATTTTTGGGGGTCCGGGAGGGCTAATTTGCATAATGTGAAAAAATACAAATTTCCTCATTCTTGCCAGTTGCACTCGCGAGTTTGGTCGTCTCTTTGGACCTGCCTCTCGATGCCTTTCCTTCCCCTGCCCCGGATTCTTGAGGCTTAAAACGGGTGTTTGGCGCGTGCTGCCAAGCGTTGCATAGTGTAGTGGTTAGCGCTTCGCACTGCTAATCTATCCATCGGTGGTTCGATCCCCGGATATCTTAGTTGTTTTGCTTTTTGCTCGGAAAGTGCGTTTCGGAGTAGATTTCCGTGTAGGGACGTTATTGTGAAGTTAGTCACTCAAGCCGCAGCCTATGGAATGAAGCTACCCGCTCAAGCATGCGCCGCAAGCCAAGGAATCAAGCTAACTGCTCAAGCTAGCGCCGCAGGCTTTAGAACAAAGCTAGCCGCTCAAGCTAGCGCCGCAGGCTTTAGAACGAAGCTAGCCGCTCAAGCTAGCGCCGCAGGCTTTAGAATGAAGCTAGCCGTTCAAGCTAGCGCCGCAGGCTTTAGAATGAAGCTAGCCGCTCAAGCTAGCGCCGCAGGCTTTAGAACGAAGCTAGCCGCTCAAGCTAGCGCCGCAGGCTTTAGAATGAAGCTAGCCGCTCAAGCTAGCGCCGCAGGCTTTAGAACGAAGCTAGCCGCTCAAGCTAGCGCCGCAGGCTTTAGAATGAAGCTAGCCGCTCAAGCTAGCGCCGCAGGCTTTAGAACGAAGCTATCCGCTCAAGCTTGCGCCGCAGGCTTTAGAACAAAGTCAGCCGCTGAAGCTGGCGCCGCAGGCCTTAGAACGAAGTCAGCCGCTGAACCTGGCGCCGCAGGCTTTAGAACGAAGCTAGCCGCTCAAGCTAGCGCCGCAGGCTTTAGAACGAAGCCAGCCGCTGAAGCTGGCGCCGTAGGCCTTAGAACGAAGCTAGCCGCTCAAACTTGCGTCGCAGGCTTTATCTCGAAGCAAACCGCTCAAGCTGGCGTCGCTGGATGAGGACCTGGCCGATCAAGCATGCGCCGCAGGCCTAATAACGACACTAGCGATTTAAGCTTGCGCCGCATGTCAATACAAAGAGATTTGCATGGGAGATGCGTTTCTTCAGGGTAACTTTATGTGGAAGGGCGCTCGATTCATAGGGCCTAGACGGGGTCCAGCGGGGGAGAGTCGCGAAGCGGCTCCTCCCCCGCTGGTATTGATATAATCACGTCAGATGTTCCTTATCACACCCTCCCAATCTGCCTATTTGATAAGAAAGCAACCCAGATCTCCATTCGCCCTAAAGCGATCCTCCATTTCCCTTTCAAAAACTTCTCAAAATGTCCGCCCACCGAATGCTACTTTTGACGGCGCTATTTGTCATTGGATCCGCTCAGTTTCGGATTCCGCTTCCGTTTGGCAGTATTAATGTGGGAAAGAAGGATGATGGGAAGGTAAGCTTTAAGTTTAGGCTTATGCTTAGGCTTAGGCTAAGGCTTAAGCTCAGGCTCACTTAACTCACACTCAAGGACGTAGCGTAAGGTGGGCCCCCCCTGGGCCCGCCCCCCGAAATCGGCCGGGGCCCGAAAATTTCATAAAGGGGCACCCTTAGGATTTTTATTTTCTCAAAAATTTTGCTGCCTGCGGCGCTATTTTTTCCACGTTTGACTGCTATTTGTAGAGCTACATAGCCTTTTTTCTAAAATTTTTTTGTCTGCGGCGCTGTTTTCTTGTTAATTTTTTGAGTTTTTCGAAAAAAATTTTCGGGCCTCCCCCCGAAATTTTTTTCTGGCTACGCCCCTGCTCACACTCTACCATTTTTTAGGTAGAAGTCGGACTCGATAATGAGATCAACTTCTTCGGTCACGGGACCAAGAATAACTGGAAGGTCACCACCGGAAATGGGACTTTCTTGACGGAAAGTAAGTTAAAAATCATCTTTTTGGGGTTTAAAGGGACTGGGAAGGCAAAAATTTGCCAGATAGCAATAGATTTCTGCCATAAAAAATGAATTAAACGATTATTGAGCTGAAGAATAAAGGGAAAGCTAGCAGAGATCATTGAGGAAGCGAGGGCAGGCTAGCAGAGATCCTCGAGGAAGCGAGGGCAGGCTAGCAGAGATCATTGCGGAATTCCAGGATACAGCGGCGCGCTGGTGAACGGCAGCGATTACGGTACCGGTCAAAGCATCGGTTACGACAAGGAAGCCGGTATTGACCTCGGCTCAAAGGCTAAAGTTGGAGATCAGCGAGTTGAGGTGGCAATTTTATTTTAAAGGAGCTTTGAAGGCACTTCGCTATGGTTTTTGGCCCTTGAATTAAAACAAATTCAACACTTTACAATTTTCAATTTTTTTAGTCAAGCCTCCTCCGCCCCGACGACTTCTTCACCAAGCTTTTCGGGGCCATCAACGCCCAGAAGGACAAGAACAAAAAGAATTGATCAATTTTGTACATTTTTTAGTGAATTTTACAGCTTATAAATAAGTTTTCGACATACCACGCATTAATGGAGAGCTAGAAAACTACCGATTTAAGTATTTAAAAACCTACCCGAGCGTTATTCGGTCCAATCCTGAGCGTGTTGAGGATGTCGGAGACGAGCTGTTTCTCGCGCATGAACGTCTCCACCACGCTACCGGAAGCGTCGAGTACTACGAGGACGTCAAGGAGACAGCCTAAAAAAGAGGATTATAGACTTTGTGTTATACCGATTTTCAAGAGTTTCTCTCTTCTCTCTCTTTCTCTCTCTCTCGCTCTCTCTCTCCCCACCTCTCTCCCTCTATCTCTTTCTCTCTCGCTCGCTCGCTCGCCCTCTCTCACTCTCTTTCTCTCTCTATCTCTCGCTCTATCCTTTTCGCTCTATCTCTCGCTCTCTATCTTTCTCGCTCTCTCTCCCTCTCAGTCTTGCTCTCCCTCTCTCTCGCTCTCACTCACCCTCTCTCTCTCTATCTTTCTCTCTCTAACTCCCCGTTCTCCCTCTCTCTCCATCATCTTTCTTTCGCTTTCTCGCTCGCTCTCTCTCTCTCTCTCTCTCTCTCTCTCTCACCTAAACCCGAATTTCCACCGATTTTCGATCCCGTTCAAGACCTCAGGAACCGTTCGCTTCTCCTCCCCTGCCCTTCCTCACATAATTAGCGACAGCCCCCCAAAAAAGTGAGAGAACCGTTGTGTCGACTTTCTTGAGCAGTGCAAAAACTACACAGATGTCTGAGAGATCTCCCCAGGATCCCGAGGGATTTCCCCAAGAGTTTTCCGAGCTTGCCACTCGAATTTTTGAGCCCCACTTAACATGCTCGTCTACCTAATTGCTACTACAATTTTTGTATTGACAACTACAGCCGAGGAAACTGAGCAAAAAAGGTAGGAAAGTAAATGTATATAAACAGGGAATTTGCAGATTTCGAATCAATTAGAAAAAAATAAATATATTTCAGCGATGTGCTAAGAAATGGGCGACTGTCAAAAGCGGATCAGGATTTGCTGTTGTTATCGTAAGTCTGTGGGATCTAAAAATCGAGGCTCAACTCTAGAAGTTCAAATTTAAGGTTAGAAAATAGTAGATTAAAATATTTTTCAGAAATGTAGAATTAAATAAATTAAAATACAAATTAAGAAAACAAAATATTTATTAAAGCTTTTGTAGAAACCCATTCTCCACCGGTAGCTTCTATAATGGTGAAGCTATCACGGCAGCCCAAAACCCGGCGGTTCCCTGGTATTCCGGCATGTCGGGAATGCCATTTCTGAAGGTGCACAAGGAGCAACCGAGGTATGGCATGCTTATGCTTAGGCTAGGCTTAGGCTTGGGCCCGGGCGTTGGCTTAGGCTCAGACGCAGGCTTTGGCTTGGCCTATGCTTAGGTAACCTAGCGATATCATATGGGAAATTTGAAACCATTCACATAATTTGCATATTTCAGGTTATTAGGCCTGAAGCTGATCCCCGGGGCGGACGGCACCTTCTATCTGGCCAGCCACTACCCCGGATATAATCCTTATATGGGGCAGCCTGTTTTGACACCACAATTTCCGGCTGGAAAATAAATTGCTGCGGAGAGAGCGGGCCAGATAGAGAGAGTCAGAGAGTGAGAGAGACGGACAGACAATCAAGCCGACCGACGAACAAAAAAACCAACAAAACTAACCGCTGACAAAATGCGTCGAGTTCTCGATCCTCTGCTCATCCACATCTAGCATGCTGATAGCAGCCGAACTCCTTGAAGTCGTGCTTAACCTCAACTTGATGGTTGTCGTTCTTGCCGTCGTCGTCGGCTTCTCCGTGCTTCTAAATGCTCAGAAGTTTCATTTTCACTAGCTTTTCAGGTCGATCTCATTTTATTTTTCTATATCTCTCTCCCTATCTCTCTCTCCATCTCGCTCTCTCTCTCTCTCTCTCTCTCTCTCCTGAAGCTGAACGCTTCGGATACCTGGTAATTGGAGCAGCAGGATTCCGGAAAACTTTCGGAGCCCTAAAGAATTTATTAATCGAATTAAGTTATACCTCGTTGTGCTCGCTGAAGTCGTTGTTTTCTTGGTCGTCTCCTCCGCATCTGGGATAGCCTTCTTGCTGAGGTGGATGGTGGGCTCGAAGTTTTTCATGAGCAGCTCCTGAATGAGATAGATTAACGATAACGACGGAGAGGGAGGGAGAGAGAGAGAGAGAGAGAGAGAGAAAGATAGCGAGAGAGAGAGCGAGAGAGAGACCACTCACCTTGCACATCCGGCTAGTAGGCAGGGCCAGCTTCAACAGCGCCTTCTCGAACTCGGCGTTCCTGGAAAAGGGAGGCTAGCCGAGATCATCGAAGAAGCGAGGGAAAGGGGGCTAGCAGAGATTATTGAGGAAGCAAGGGCAGACTAGCAGAGATTCTTTTGGAAACTTTTGCTGACCTATCGAACTCGAACACATTTTTCCTGGCCCCGGTGAGCATCTCCAGCGATCTGATGGAAGACTTGTCGGATGAGTCGACGGCATATCGAGTGATTTCAGAAGGCTAAATCAGAGAAAACGATTACAAACCGATTTATGGTGTTTTTTGTATGCTATGCTATGTCATTATTCTTACAATGTCTACATTAATCGGGCCCTCAGTCAGACTTCCAGGTCCCACGACGATCAGGGCTTTGCGAGAAGATTTCCTAAAGAACAAAATTTGATTTGATAAATTAGAATTCGCTCTCTCTCTCATTCTTCCTCTCTCTCTCTCTCTCGCTCTCTTTCTCTATCTCTCTCTTTCTCACTCATTCTTCCTCTCTCTGGTTTACCTCGCATTTTTCCTCAGCTCCTTCAGTGCAAAGGTCACCGCTTTATGGTAATCAGCTACGTTCTGGACGGCCGGGATGTTTTTAGCCTGGAAAAAAATTATTTTTTAAGGGTTATTTAGGTATATTTCTGCGTTTTAAAAGCACCCTTACCGCGACAAATAACCGATTTCGCTCCAGGATCTCGCTAAAATCAGCAACAACCGATGGGGTGGCCGTGCTGATTAGGGAGGCTCGAATCCCAGTGATGCCGACGAGGGAGCCTGAATTTGTTGAATCGTTCTCTCTTTCTCGCTCTCGCTCGCTCTCGCTCGCCCTCTCTCTCTCGCCTTCTCGCTCTCAAAACTCACCTAGTATATCCAGAAGCAGGAATTTATTCCCATTCACTGTTCGCTCGGATGAGATGGTTGAATTTACTAAAAATAAAAAGAATTTAAGGGTTTGGTAATTTGCATACCAGAATTATCGAAAACGAAGGCCACGTCAAGCTGCTCGGGCTCACAGGGATTTGGGCGAGGGGTTGGCTTCTAAAACTCTTTAGTTCTTGCTCACTCTGTCACTCTCTCGCTCTCTCTCTCTTTCTCGCTCTCGCTCCCTCTCTCACTCCCTCTCTCTCTCTCTCTCTCTCTCTCTCTCTAGCTCTCCCACCTCGGGCTCCTCATTCGGGCAACCCTGGCCGATTTCATGCAGCATGTCTTCTAGAAATCTAAAAAAGCGTGAGATCCTGAGGGCAGGCTAGCAGGGATTATTTAGGAACCAGCGCCCAAAACCCGCTTCGCGGGCCTTGGGCGCTGGAATGCGGTTTTTGCATGATAAATTTGACTTTCCGATCACCCGGGTCCTTCGGACCCCTCGCCTCTGCCGACCACACGGGCGAGTGCAACTGGTAAGAATGTGGAAATTTGTATTTTTCCGCATTATGCAAATTAGCCCTCAGGGACCCCCAAAAATGAATAAAACCGGCTTCAACTTTGTAAACTTTTATTTTATCGAAATTCTGAGAACGCCGTCGGAAACAGGAGGGTCGATTCCCCCGGGTGACGGAGAATTAGGGCATTTTATGCACGGGAAGGCCCTCAAATCGGGCCTCGAAAGTGACATCCACACACACACACACAGTTACACGCCAAAATTATATAAGGTAGGATTGTGGCAGGCTAGCAGAGATCGTGGAGGAAGCGAGGACAGGCTAGCAGAGATCGTGGAGGAAGCGAGGACAGGCTTCCATAGATTTCGACGGAAAATACTTCATTCTTCTTTTTTAGCTCCTTAAGTTTTCTAAAGGGAAAACGAATCCATTTTCGAGCAAAGGTAGCTATGAGCTAAAAATGGCATTTTCCAATCATGCACAATTTCTAGCTATTTAAAGGAACTTGGAAGGTAAAAATTTTCTGGAAAACGAGCCACAACCTTCCGCTGACCACCAGGTACGAACGAAAATTTGTTTCCAGCGGAACCGATCGGGGGGCCATTTCTGGACCGTCTCGAGTGTGTCTCCCCCACCTACAGTCTACGGTTTCGTGTAATTAGCCTGGGAAAGTGGGAATTCCGCTCCTCTGCCAAAATCTCAAGTACTCCAGTCAAGTCCGAGACCGAAAAAGCGCTCAAAAGAGCGCTTCTCACTTTCTCGCTCTCTCTCTCTCTCTCTCCTCCCAAAAATAGAAATTACAGTTGGTCACACCGCGCGTGGGGGAAAACCTATAAAACGTCCTGGGACGCTTTTTGAGGAAAATTCGAGCGTGTCCAAGATGGGCAAATATTTGCTGTTGTTGCTATCCAGCGCCCTAGCTACCGTAACCCTAGCACAACAATACGGAGCTCCCTACGCACCTTACTATCCACAGTACACCAGTCCGTATTATTATGGAGCGGCGGCGCCAGGTTGGTAAAGGTTCCCAAACGATCTCTGCTAGCCTGCCCTTGCTTTCCTGAATGCTCTGCCAGCCTGCCCTGGCTTCCTCAGTGATCTCTGCTAGCTTGCGCTCGCTTCCTCAATGATCTCTGCTAGCCTGCCCTGGCTTCCTCAGTGATCTCTGCTAGCTTGCGCTCGCTTCCTCAATGATCTCTGCTAGCCTGCCCTCGCTTCCTCAGTGATCTCTGCTAGCTTGCGCTCGCTTCCTCAATGATCTCTGCTAGCCTGCCCTCACTTCCTCAGTGATCTCTGCTAGCTTGCGCTCGCTTCCTCAATGATCTCTGCTAGCCTGCCCTCACTTCCTCAGTGATCTCTGCTAGCTTGCGCTCGCTTCCTCAATGATCTCTGCTAGCCTGCCCTCACTTCCTCAGTGATCTCTGCTAGCTTGCGCTCGCTTCCTCAATGATCTCTGCTAGCCTGCCCTCGCTTCCTCAGTGATCTCTGCTAGCTTGCGCTCGCTTCCTCAATGATCTCTGCTAGCCTGCCCTCACTTCCTCAGTGATCTCTGCTAGCTTGCGCTCGCTTCCTCAATGATCTCTGCTAGCCTGCCCTCACTTCCTCAGTGATCTCTGCTAGCTTGCGCTCGCTTCCTTAATGATCTCTGCCAGCCTGCCTTTGCTTCCTCAATAAGCTCTGCCAGCCTCCCGTCCTTTAAAAGGATGGTGACAGCTACATTCTTGATTTTCAGCGGTGGCGCCACCAGTCGCCCCCGCCGTTCCGCCTCCGATGCCCTATTTTCCATACAGCGGATGGGGACCAGTGAGTTATTTGAGATTTTTTGCCTTTAAAAAAATCAAAAATTAATTTTCTATAGCTTTTTCAGGCTTCTAGACGGCCCCATCCCTTTAAAAATGTATATTATTGTTTTTTCCATTATTTTCAGGTACCTTATGCGCCTCCATACACCCCTACGTACAGTACAACGTACGCCCCGTACAACTATTACCAGAACTACTACGGTAACTACGCCGGGTCGTATCGGAAAAAGACGGAATAGGGATCGCATAAAGTATAAAGCATATTGTGTTACGTACTAAAGGTACTGTGTAAAATACTACAGGCCCAGGCTTAGGCTTTACTTGGCTTAGGCTTAAGCTTGGCTCAGGCTTAGCCTGAGGCTTAACTACGTACCGATTCCGTGTCGCATCTCTGTACAGCCGTTCCGGGGCTCCTATGTACAGACTCAGCTCTCGTAGATCAGCCTCTGCCCCAAGAGCAACACCAAATCTAAAAATGACAAAATCAGTTACGTCATGAAATCCGGGACACACCTCTTGACGTTGGCATTTTCGATAGCTTTGGCGGCTTTGAGGACGTGACTCCACGGGTCTTGTGAGAAGCCGTCGTTCATAAGGACGATTATCTGTAAGGGTTTTTGAATAGGGGGCAGTCTAGCAGCGATCATTGAGGAAGCGAGGGCAGCCTAGCAGAGACCGTTTACAGAAACCCACTCCTTCCGCGTCCTTTCTCCGATTTTGATGCAAATCTTGGAGAGCGGCACCGATCGCTCTTGCCGTTAGTGTGGATCCGCCACGGTATTCGATATGACGGAGAAGGTCAAGGATTTCCTGAATTAACAAAATTACTTTTCGAGGTGATACCGTACCCTTCGGTCCGTTGCTGTTTGTAGTCGGCGCAGGAGCTTGGGTTCTCGTGTGAATGAGGTGATGCCGATGGCGATGTGGTCGGATTCTGAAGCCAGAAATACCTGAGAGAGAGAGAGAGAGAGAGAGAGAGAGAGAGTGCAAGCCATCAAAAACGCACCGATAGGCAGCCTTTCCACGAGAGCCATCGCCAATTGACGCTGCCCTTCGAATACCTGTAAAAATTCAAAATTTTAGGTTTTGAAGGAGCGTAAAAACGAAAATCCATAGCCTTGGAAAAGTGCCAAAACTTCAGGCTCCCTTTAAAATAGCTAGCATCTATAAAACGTACATCTTCTCTCGAGGTACTCACATCCAGGATGATCTCCAGGTCCACCTTTTTCGGCACGCACCTAAAAACGTAATTTACATATTTTTTGGCATATCCGTACTTTTTCTGCTCTTCCTCGCGGCTGGGGACAAATTTTCGGACTCTTTCTTCGCGAGCAGGTTCTTCTGGCGCTCTCTGCAGTCTCACTTTCTCCCTAAAAAACGTGAAAAGCATACTTTAATTACGTTGTATACAGTAAAAATACCTCCTTCTCTCCGCTCTCTCCGTCTTGCTCGCTCTCTGCGTGACATTCACCTGTCCAACCGCCTTCGCTTCCCTGCCTACCTGGTGACGCCCCTAAACGGGATAGTCTCTCTTGGCCCTGCCAGCCCCAACGCTTCTGTGGCGCAATCGGCAGCGCGTTCGGCTGTTAACCGAAAGGTCGGTGGTTCGAACCCACCCAGGAGCGAACCTTTTTGCTTTTTGGCACATAACTGTGTAATGACGTATACTTTATTCAAAAATATTTTATATTGCTGTGTGAAGGGTAGCTGATCAGGAATTCGGCTCATAATCGGTCCTGAAACGTTTTGATAACCAACCTTTCTCGAGGTCGCCAAGAAGTCGAAAGTAACACGAGAAAAAGCGAAAAATGACAAAAGTGAAAATGTTTAAAAATAAAGCGAGGGGGTAAAATTGTTAGAAAGGGGTGGAAAGTGACCCAGCTACCGTACCTCGACGTCCAAAGTGACATTCGGGGCCAAGCAGTTCAGTAGGGCGCGTTCGGTGACGTCTAAAAAAATTAAAAATCCAAAAATCGTTAAAAGTTACCTAGAAATTCCGGGATTTTCGGGCCGACAAAGACGTAATCGGGACCGGAGGAGTACATCTCGAGTTCTCTGAAATCGCGTCAAAAAATTTAAAAAAGCTGCAATTCTGAATTTAGCGTCAAAAAAAATTTAAAAAAGGACGTGAGCTATTTAAGGATTAAAACTTAAAAGTCGAAGGTTCCCACTTGTATAAATAGTCGCGGTGTACGGTGATAGCATAAACATCGACGGCGAGGGCTTTCACGAGTCCGGATGTAAGGATTACCTATAAAAACAGATGGGGAGAGCGAGAGGGAGAGCGAGAGAGAGAGTGGGAGCGAGAGAGCGAGAGAGAGAGCGAGAGAGAGCGAGAGAGAGCGAGAGAGAGCACCATACCTGTCTCCAGAGGTCCTGGCTGTTTCCATCCGAAACAAGCACAACCATTTGCCTAAAAATATCGAAATTTACACTTGCAAGCCCTGTTTGACGCATTTTTGAGCTGAAAACGACGGAAAATCTATGGATTTTACCTTCTCGGTACCTTTAAAAGCTTCTAACCATGTTCTGTGCTTTCCAATTTTTCAACTGGATTCGGAAATGGAAATCAAGGCCCATTTTTGGCAGCCTTCCAAGTGCCGTTAAAACCCCAAACCTGGCGTCACTCCTTCGGCCTCGCGTAATTTCATCAGCTGCCAGCTTCATCCCGGCCGCCACCGAGGTCGAGCCGCCCTCGTCGGTGATGTTGGACAGGACGTTGATGATCGATTCTCTGGAATATGGAACTGTTGCTCCTTTTCTCTATCTCTCTCTGTCTCTCTCTCTCTCTCTCTCTCTGACTCTCTCTATCTCTTTCTTTCTCTCTCACTCTCACTTTGTTCGTTGCCTGCCGAGCGGCTCGACGACGCGCGCCCGATTGTGGAAGACGATTATCCCGACGTGGACTCGGTTGTCGAAATCTTCACGGGGCAATCGGTTTACCTAAATTTGAATTTGACCTGCACTACTGGTCATAAAAGCCATTTCACAGTCCCTTTAAAACGCACCAGATCCAGGGTGAACTGTCTTTGCTTCTCAAACTCCTGCTCCACTGAGGTGGAGATGTCGACGACGAAGACGAGGTCGACCTTGCAGGGTCCTTCTAGAAAGGGGAAGGCTAGCAGAGATCATTGAGGATACAAGGGCAGGCTAGCAGAGATCATTTGGGAGCCACCAAAAAACCTGAAAACACCTACTTCCATCGAAAGTCGACTTGATCGTGCCAGGCCTCGTCACCAGCGGGATACCCTCGTTTAGTGGATCGCTCACTCCGCGCGGCTTCTAAGAACGGGGTATTTAGTCTCTCTCTCTCTCTCTCTCTCTCTTTCTCTCTCTCTCTCTTTCTCACTCTCTCGCTCCCTCACCTGCTCGTGCGAGTCGGTCAGCGGCTCATCGGTGTGGTTCGCAGGCGTGTTCTTCTCGATGACGGCGTCTGCAATGTTGAGATCAGAGAGAGAGAAAGAGAGAGAGAGTGAGAGAGAGCGATAGAGAACCTACCAGTTGTGATAACACCATCTCCGGATCCTTCCACATCTCCAGACCCCTCGATTTCTTGAACCTTCGATGCTACGTTCGCAATAATTTGGTCCTGAATCTGGGCTACAGACTACAATAATGACACGCACGGCTTTCTGACTGTCCGCTCCACAGTGCCGAAACTCGCGTCTGACCCTGTCGAGAAAGACGGGGATCTGCTGCGAGTGGAAGACGTGCGAGGCGTTGCCGGTCCAGGCCTGGAAAAGGGAGAGTGGGAGAGAGAGAGATCATGATCATGAGAGAGAGGGAGGGAGAGAGAGTGATTTTCTACCCTACCCACCGTCAACTCGCTCAACGAGTACTTCTCCGAATTCGTGGCCGCCAATAACAACGAGTTCGGCAGGGCTTGAAGGATTCTAAAAAACCACCCGGCGTTTTCAACAAGTTCAGGCTGGTTAAAGGTACACGCCGGGCATTTCTATAAATTCTAGATTTCCAAATATTCTGTAAAGCCGACGTTTTCAAGTAGTTCAAGTCGTGGAAAGGTAAACGCAGCTTTTTTTTACAGGTTTAGTTATCCAAGGATTTTAGCTGTAAACCCAGCGTTATCATGAAGTTCAGGCGGTTTAAAGAGGCATGGATTCATGGATGGATTCTACATCTTTTAGGAAACCCATAAAAATGCCTTGCCAATCCCTTTAGAACTCAAAAATTATTCATCTACCTCGCCGTCTTGGTCAGCTTGTCCCAAAAGTCCTGGCTGTGCCCGTCGGAGATGAGCACGACGAGCAGCCGGGTTTTTGGGCGGCGCTCTGGCAACAGGTGCTGAAAGTACATTTATTTCCAACGAAAAATCAATAACTTGGCATCTAGAAATAGAATCGATTTATTGAATTCACAAGTTCAAGAGATTCAGGAATTACCATATAAAAAGGCAAAAATTTCAAAAACTCTAAATAAATAATATGTTACTACTTTAAAGGGACTTGGAATGCAAGAAAATGCTAATTTGCATAACCATTTATTGAATTTTAACCTGATTTTGTCTTAATGCTATTTTAAATTAGTTTTAAAATATTATTTGAGTCCTAAAAGTCATTTAATTTAAGCAAATTTCGACAATATTTTCATTCTGTTACGAAATTTTTGAGCTTCCTGTTTTCCTAGTCACTTTAAAATACGCGCTAAATTCAAAAATCTTAATTACAGACATATAAATTAAAGCCAAAACACAAAATATTAGTAAAAAAAACACAAAAAAAATCAGCATGTTAGAGTAGGCGATCCCTCGAAATGACCCTAAAAAACTCGGGCAATTTTCGCATGCTAATTTCGCCGGCTGGGTCCAAAATTGTGGGCGGGGCCGTAGTGGCATCGGGTTGTAGTTCGTAGTCGGGGAATTGTGGGGACGGGTCGGGTACCGTAACCCGGACCTTCGGGGTGGCTGTTGCGTTGCTAGGTGTTCGTAGTTGGTATCCCGAGATTTCGGGACGTTCAGAGGGTTGCTTTGTAGTTTGTAAAATTTCGGAAGAGCTTTCAGGGCTGGCTACAGTAACTGAGGGGCTGGATACGGTAGAGATTTGAAGATTTTCTGCAAAATCTTGTTTTGTCGTTTGGAAAGGCTCGGAAAGTGAATCTTCCGGCCTTTTTGAGCCAGCTACCGTAACCCGGCCGTCAGATACTGTAGGGTTGTCTGAATTTTCCGAATCTTCCGCCGAAAGTTGTGCCGCCGTTTGGAGCGTTTCGGAACCTGCCTTTTCCAGTTTTTCTTCGACTTTTAGCACTTTTTCGAGATTCGTTACCGTAATAGGTACTGTAGAAGTTGCCGAGTTTTCCGTATCGGATTCTGGCGTCATTTGGATAGTCACGTAACCCGAATTTACAGGTTTTTCGCCACTTTTTAGATAGCTCTCCGGTTCAGCTACCGTCACCTGGTCATAAGGTACTGTGGAATTATCATCTTTTTCGGTAGCAGACCCTGGCGTTGTTTGGAAAGTCTCGGAACCATCAGCTTCTTCCCTTTCTTTTAAGCCCTTCAGGATCCCCGCCCAAAATTCGGCTTCCGGAATTCCTCGGGCCTCTCCCGATATCTTGAATATCTTCTGAATCCGAACTTGTTGAAGTTGAGGTTTGATAGAGCCCAAAAACCCGGCCTTCGCCCGATTTTTACGGAATTTCCGGGGGAATACGATGATTTTCGGGGTTCGGTCATCATCTCTCGCTTTAATGCTCGGCTTCTCCATCCTGAGGCGACGGACCGCGCCTGGGATTTTTGAGGATAGAGGTCTTTTTCGGGACGTTCCGGTTGATTCCGGCTTCCGGATTGACGTGTTCAAGTCGTGCTCGCTTTTCAGCTCCGCCTGAAAGAGTTGTAACATCACCCGGCCGTTTGAGCGCTTCGGAATGGACCCGATTTTTGGTTCAAACAATCTTGCGAGAAGATACGATTTTAGCAGCGCCAATTTTCGGTTGAAATGCGGTACGTTGATGTCTTTCGTACTGCTTGAAGCCTCTGCTACGGTAGTCCGGCTAAAGGGTACTGTAGCCGTTTCTATTTGGGTTACGGTTGTTGTAGATTCCAATTCCAAGGCCTCAGGGGTTACGGTAGCAAAAACCAGGTCATCTACAGCATCCTCATTTCCGGGAATCCCTTCCGATGCCGATTCCGGCCTAATTAAGAAGGTTGCTGTGGGCGCTACAGTACTCCCCAGAGCTGATTTCTTTGATTCCGCGACATTCCTATCAACAGGGGTTACGGTAGCAAAAACCGGGCCATCTGTAGTATCCTCATTTCCGGAAATCACTTTCGGTTCCGTTTCCGGTCTAATTACGAAGGGTACGGTAGCAACTTTCGGCTCGATTTCTGGGAGGCTACGATTTATTGGGGTTGCGGTAGCTGCGTCAAAAGGATCTGCCGTTTGATTTTCAGCTATTTTCCCAGAAGCCGTATCCGAATTGAGAGGATTTTCCCAAATTTCCCGCTTTGCGGGGGTTACGGTAGCCTGGTCAGCAGCTACAGTCTCCCTCAGCGCTACAGTGGTAACGTCGAAAGGATCTTCGTGCGCATTTTTAGCGTTTTTCCTCTTGGTGGGGGTTACGGTACTCGTATCAAAAGCTGCAGAATCCATCCGGGCTACGGTAGTCGGCTCATGTTGCCCGGTTACGGTAGCT